AAAAATACTAGAACCTGAGCATATATCAATTTCTATATCCCTGCATGCCTGCAACCCAAGGGGGAAATGTCAAGCTGTCTCAGGAATGGCTTCAAATTTCATTGCAGTTGCTAACTGAGGTTGGGTTTGCATTTTCTGCAACGTGACAAGAACTGACCAATGTGATCATTATGATGATGAAAATAATCACTAATACTTCTATAGTGGTTACCACGTGTCAAAATCTATTCTGACTTCTTCATATGTAATAATAGATATTAAGCCTCATACTAATTGTATGCAGTATGTTATTATCCCTACTTTACAGATAGGGTAATTTATATGTAGAGATTATGTGATTGTCCAAGATTTTCCCGATTGTCACACAGCTACTTAGTGGTAGATTGGGATATTACCCCAAGCAGTCAGAATTCTTTTTCTTAAATATGCTGTATTGCTTCTCACTTTCCCCTTCTTGTAAAATGCCCGATCTTTTTGAGTTATTTTCCTGAAACTCTTCCCCTTCACTTTACTTTGGGGAGAACACCCTGTCCTTTCCTCTCCCAAGAGTAAAAGGAGGGAAAAAAATCTCTAGGCACAAACACTACTATTTCCATAATACCAACAGTTACTGTGATGGCATCCCCTTTTTCCTTTCCAAGTACTCTAAAAACTAAAGGAGGGCGCATAGGAGAGGTAGAGTGATGGTTGATGGTATTTAGTTGAACTTTTTTGCTTCCAGTCAAGGCTTGGAATACATGTCTAACTCTCTTTAGAATTTAGGGCACTTAGGCTTTCTTATCTATCAGCTGTGAATCCATGTTGCCAAAGTGGTGACAAATACAAAATCACTGTTGAGGCTATTGTCATAGTCTAGGAGAGAGGATAGAGGATTGGACTAGGGTGATAATGCAGAGAATCAGTAAAGTTTGGGATGTATCTTAGAAATAAAACCAACAGGACATGGCAGTCAATTGAATATGGGGAAGAGGAAAAGAAAGGATTTGAAGAGGATTTTGACTTGAGCAGGCAGGTGTAGATGAGGAAGACTAGAGACAGAAGAGATCTGAATGGAACTATGAGGGTGGTTTGGTAAAGAATACTGTTTTGTCTGTTTTAAGTTTTAGATACCTATTAGACAGCACGAGGAGATATCAAATAAAAAGTTGTACATAAGAGTTTGGAGATTAGTGGGCAAGACAAACTACAGAGTTACACATTTGAAAGTCTCAGCATATTCTGTATTCAAAGGAGCAGATAAAATTAATTAGGGAGAGATTATCTTCAAGTTTTCATGTGAAAAATTGAAATTTACAAGTTATTATATTTAAATATATTAAATTGTATATAAATATATAATATTTGAATTACATATTATATATAAAATATATATCTATTATAAAAATGTTATATATACTGTAATATGTTCTACAATAATATGAAAACAATATAATACACAGACAGAGATTCATTTTCAAATGTCAGAAGGGAAAACAAATAGAGTGTACTATCTGTGTCTCAAGAGAATAAAATCTGTCATGATTTGAGAATCTCAAAATATAATAAACTGTGCTAGAATATAATAAAATTTGTCCAGAGGATGTGAAGCATTGACATATTTCAGACGGATTTTAAATAAATGATGAACTGAAACTACCTGTTGTATAAGAAATTAAAATAAAACTTGAGTGTGAGTAAAAGATGAAACTACTAACTTGAAGGAATACATGTACGCTTATGTTCATAGCAGCACTATTTACAACAGCCAAGCTATGGAAACAACCTAACTGCCCAGAGACAGAAGAGTGGATTAGGAATTTGTAGTACATATACAAAATGGAGTACTACTAAGCTGTAAAGAAAATATAAATTCTTGCCATTTACTACAGCATGGATGGAACTGGAGGGGATTATCTTAAACAAAGTAAGTCATAAGGGGTCCTCCCTGGTGGCCTAGGGAATCAAGTCTCAGCCCTTGCACCTCAACAGCCTGAGATTGATCCCTGGCCAGGGAGCTACCCACATGGCACAGCAGACCTTTCCTAAATGGCCTGCTGCTCCCCTTAGCTGTATTATTTCAGTCAATCCGTCTGTTCTGCTCCCCACTCTGTCTCTGGTGAATCCTCTCACCCCCCCCCCACAACCTTTAGTATACACTCCCAGTTCTTCTATGCAAAAATAAAATCTAAAAATTAAAAAAATAAAATAAGTTTATAAAAAAATAAGTCAGAAGGAGAAAGACAAATATTAGATGTTGTCACTTATAATTGGAAAATAGAGAAACAAAACAAAGGGTAGATAAAACCAAACAATCTCAAAATTTAGAGAACTGGTAGCATTACAAGGAGGGTAAAACTCTAAAGCATGTACGGTATTGTAAAACAATGTTACAATTTTATTTATTACACTAAAACAAAATTTTTTTTAAGATTTATTTATTTATTTTATACAAGCACTGGGTACAGTCAGAAGCGTGGGAGGGCGAGAGAATTTACCAGAGTCAGATTGGAGAGCAGAACAGGCAGACTGACAAAGTACACTGCTGAGGGGAGCAGGGGGCGGCAGGAGAGGTCTGCGCTCTATGTGGGACCCTCACCCGGTGGCTGGGGATTGAACTGGTGCTGCAGAGGCTGTGGGCAGCTTTGCAGCCCAGTGCTCAACCGCTGCGCCACTGGGGAGGCCCAATAAAACAAATTTTTTTTAAAAATCAGAACAAAAAGATAATAGTAACCTTAATGTACCTTCAGACTTTTTCCAGATGTGCCTATCCTGGAACTTTTTGTTATATGAATCTTGGATATGAATATGCAAAAAATAAACCATTTTTGGTGAAGAATTTAGAATATAGTACTAAGCTTTCAGTTATTCGCACATAAAGTGTTCTATTATTATGTTTTATAATTTTTTAAGGCTAAAACTGAAGAAGAAATGGTTTAAAAAATTAAACCAAATGTGTTATATGTATCTAGTTTGTTATTGCTAATAAGTTTGTGAAACAATGCACCTGTAGCACAAAATTGTAAAATAGAAGCCTCAGCTAAGTTTTCAGTGCAGCCTATTTGTTATTCTTCTTTAAAAAGAAACAAACAAAACCAACCTTTATTAACCTCTTGTTCTTTCATAAATAGTAATGCTGCTAGTTATGTCCTCTCTACCTCCCAACCTAGACTGCCAGTTTTTATATTTTAGTGTACAACAAAATGAAGTGGAAAGCTTTAAAAAAAATAAAAAAACAACATTCTATGGTCCCCATCTGCAGAAATTCTGATTGGGTGTAGCCAGGAAATCCATATTTTGATTATTAGTATTGGATTAATACTATTAGTATTAATACTAATAGTATTAGTATTGGATTAATCACTTCTAGTGATTCTAGGGAAGGCTATCTCTCATCAAACTTGAGAAAAATATTGTTCCTTGATCCTATGTTACAGATACGGATAACTCTTCAGGTGACAAAGTGCCACTTGGATCTCCACACCCTTTTTTTTTTCAGTCATTTCTTTTAGATGCATAACTTGCATAATAGAAATAGCCAAGTGTGAGACTGAAAAAAAAAAAAAGAAACACCAAATATAGAGCTTTTCTTTAGGTTAGTAATTATGACTCAAATAAACTTTGCTTTTTTTTTTTTTTAAAGATTTATTTATGCATACAAGAGCTGGGGTACAGGCCAGAGGTGTGGGGGTGAGAGGATTCAGCAGAACAGGAGAATCTACTGAAATACGCTGCTGAGGGGAGCAGTAGGCAAGTCAGAAGAGGTCTGCTGTGCCATGTGTGGGTAGCTGCCTGGCTGGTCGGGGGGATTGAACTTGTGCTGCAGAGGCTGCAGACAGCTTCATAGGTTGCGTCTTAACCCCTTGCGCCACCAGGGAAGCCCAAATAACCTGTGCTTTTATAAAAATAAACTTTTTGGAGGGAAACTAATTTGTCCCCTGGGATTTATATCATTTACTCTGGGCAGGCAGTCTAGTTGTAAGTTTATTTTCAAAGAAAAAATGACTTTTTAAAAAGTGTCCAGCTAATTTCAAATGATTTTTTTTATTGATAGAATTAATTGGTTATTTAGAATCTACTGTTAAATGAGGCACTCTTAACGTGGGTGATATTTGTTTTGACATCCTGACCACACGCTAAATGAATGTGCCTTCAGATATTTCTTTTTCTAATAGATACAACTTATCATGTGTGAACAGTACATTTTTCTTAATCCAAAGTAGTTTCTAAGTTCTGTAACAGTAAACATTAAAATGAAAGCAGTCTGATAGTGTATTGATAGATTTTGTGTGTTCTCATGTGTGGCACTTCACTCTTTTTTTTTTTTTTTAAAGATCTCTTTATTTATTTATACAAGCACTGGGTACAGTCAGATGCATGGGAGAGTGAGAGAATTCACCAGAGTCAGAGCAGAGAGCAGAACAGGCAGACTGACAAAGTACACTGCTGAGGGGAGCAGGGGGCGGCAGGAGAGGCCTGCACGCCATGTGGGACCCTCGCCGGCCGCTGGGGATCGAACTAGCGCTGCACAGGCTGCTGGCAGCTTTGCAACCCAGCGCTCAACCGCTGCGCCACTGGGGAGGCCCTGGCACTTCACTCTTGCTAGATATTCAATACATATTGATTAAAAGGGTACAATTTTCTTTTTGTTTTTTGTTTTTTTATTTTTTTTTTCTTATTTAGAGGAGTGCAATTTTATGGTTGTCTTTAGCAACTTTTTCAATCTTGTATTTTCTTTGCCTAAGTGTGAGATCTGTTTGCCTATTTATGATCCTGAAGTATTTCTTTAGTACCTCTTAAAATTCTAGGAGACCCTGTAAAAATTAGAGAACTGAGAACCAAAAGTAACATAGATTTGATGCTGTTGTATATAAACGTAACCAACTGTTCTTAGAGGTAAGCTTGCTTAAGAGACAGGAAATTCTAGCATGTTGGGGTGGGGGTAGCAGGATGTTCTGCCCAAAAGCTCAGTTCTGTTGTTATTGTTGGGTTTTTTTGACACTAATTAATGAAAAAGTTGCAAGAAATACTGCAATGATTCAATTTTCTGTTGCGGCACCACAAATGAAAATCATTTCATGGATTTGCAATTCTGACAGGTGTCACAAGATGAGCAAAGGACAAGGCCTGCCTTAATATCATCATATTAGGATGAGGGAAAGATACATCTAGTATCCACCTGTTTTTAATTCCAATTCCATGTTGAGCTTATTTATAAGCTTATTCCTAAAGTAAACTTACTACTTAAAGTAATAAGAACATATATATGTAATATATGATAATTTAAATTCAATAGCTTAGTTAATTAAGAACTAAAAGAAAAAGTTGGCCAAAGATACAATTGGACCTTAAAGGAATTAGTTTTTTGTCCTTCTCTTCCCTTTGTTTGTTCTAGGCACAACAAATGTCAGATACTTGCTTTGAAAACCAGTATGAACACACAGTTAATACATTTAAGACTTCCACCCATTTAAACATTCTTAGTGGACTCCTGCTTTGAAAGTATTATTAGTCTTCTGGTTAATAATACAGAGTTAGTGTTAAATCAAAATTAATTGCATTAAAGCACAACTTTGGGGAAATGCTCATGAAAAATTTATATCTGAGCCATATATTTCTTTCCAGGGCAACATTTAAATTTCAGATTTAAACCGCAGTTCTGATTGTTTTCAGTTTGTTAGCTGCCTGGACTGTTATTTTAAGAAAGCAGAAGCACCATCATTTGCACACTCCTTATAGACCACACTACCTTAACCCTGACTTTTTAGCTCCAGTTTTTCAAAAGAAGTGAAGTCAAGATGAAGAACCATTTGCTTTTCTGCTGTGTCCTGGCCATTTTTGTTAAAGCTGTTCTTGTGACAGGTATGTGGAATTTTGAAAAAGATCTCAGATAAAAGGAAAAATAGAACAGGAAAAAGAAAAGTCTATTCTTCAGATTTAAACATTTATGTTTGTGCTTTGGTTGACTAGCTAGCTGGCACCTTTTTTCTAACATGCCTTATCTTTATATGGGCAGTGATCTTCATACAGACAAGACTTAGTGTAATTATTTTTATTCTTTTTTCTTATTTGCCTATGACAACTTTGAGAATAAGAAAACCAGTATTTCTGGATAAGTATAGGTAAATAAACATATTGAAACTTGAAATTCAGTTATCCTCTTCATATATCTTTTAAATTAACATTCTAGAGGAATGAAATAACAGTTATTATAAGTATAACATAAAAATATTGGGATTTGATTTTCTCATAGTGACTGGTGTTACAGCTAATAACTTTCCCAAATATGAGGCTACAGATTAACTCTAATTCTTTAACTTCTTTAGCAATGTTTAATGTTATATAGGTTGCGTATAACTTGATAGTTGAACTTTGGTTATTTTGTTTATTGATTTTTCAAATAACTGTTGAAAATGGAATCATTCTAAATGTAGAAGTATAACACTTAAAAATTTTCATCTAGGGCCTCCCCGGAGGCGCAGCAGTTGAGCGCTGGGTTGCAAGGCTGCCTGCAGCCTCTGCAGCGCCAGGGTCCCACATGGCGCGCAGACCTCTCCTGCAGCGCCCGCTGCTCCCCTCAGCAGTGTACTTCGGTCCCTCTGCCTGTTCTGCTCCCAGCTCTGGCTCTGGTGAATTCTCTCACTCTCCTGCGCTTCTGACTATACCTGGTGCTTGTATAAATAAATAAATAAATAAATCTTTAAAAAAAAATTTTTTTTTCATCTAGAAGGGAAAATGAATTGGCAATGATATGATATGGTTAGGTTGTTTCTAACACAGAACTTATTCTTATTTCAGACAGTAATTAAAAGAATTGATGTAATTAAGAGAAATTTAATTAAGAATAGTTATTTTATACATATTTTATTCTAATTTAACATTAAGAGTAATTAACTTGTAATACTATGTAAAATTATGAAGAGTAGTAAAAACACGAGCAGTATACACACATGTATAAATATAGGTAAATACATATGTATATGGCCATGTTTATATAACATATAGGTTCTATAACATATATCACATTTATGTAGCTACATATATAATAGCTGTCTTTTATTGAGCACATATGTTCCAGGCATTATGCTAACCACTTTACACATACTATTCCATTTAATTCTTACATTCACCATGTGAGGATAGGTATTATTATTATTGTTTTTAAAGATTTATTTATTTATGCATATAAGAACTGGGGTGCAAGCCAGAGGTACAGGGGGGAAGGGTGAGAGGATTCACCAGAGACAGAGTGGGGGAGCAGAACAGGTGGATCTACTAAAATACACTGCTGAGGGAAGCAGCAGGCTAGACAGGAGAGGTCTGCTGTGCTATGTGGGCCTGGCCAGGGATTGAACTCTGTACTGCAGTGGCTGGTGATAGCTTTGTCTTTAATCCCTGTGCCAGCAGGGAGGCCTTATTATTATTTTTTTTATATATATAGTTCAACCCATTGAGATTTACAGAGGTGAAAAAACTTACCTTAGGTCACCCAGCAAGCATGTGGTAGGTAGAACCCAGCAAATCTTATCATTATAGCTCACATTTTTAACAACTGTTCTAGTCTAGTTGTATAAGAGAATCAACTTTTAGTCAACTCATTATATTTATATCATTCTGTATTATTAAACCTATTTTATTATTTGTTTGAACAGAATTAAATGAAATTTAACAAGCTTTTATTGAGCACTAACTATGACTCAGATATTTTTGGAATGAAGGCACAGTTCGTAATAATGGGTTTATTAGGGAAAATACTGCCTGTCAGTGAGAATGTTAGAATCCTGTAAGGTTGGTGAATTGCAGGTATTTGTATATTTCCTGGCAAGTATATTAGGTATATAATGCTTACTATTTTATATATAATAATATATAGTAATGATAATTTCCCCCTAGGTTTCTGGTAAGGAAACCAATCATGTACTATGAATAAAATACAGATATTTCTATGTAAGCCTCACTAGTCAAGTTACATATTCAACTCAACCTATATTTTTGGGCAGGAATTATATGCTCCTTTGTGTTTTCCTGAGAAAAACATTTAAGAGGCATGACTATCAGATTAGGCAAGAGTACATCTTTTAAGCTACCTTATCTTTTCGAAATATTAAATAATTATGTCATTCTTGAACTGAATTCATTATGTTTCTTTCTAATACCAGACTTTTATAAGAAGTTATTAAGAACTCAGGAAAAATAGCATAATAGTGAATTAAAAGTCCTGTAGACAATTATAAATACAATAAAAATGATCTTGAAGTATTTTTGTAATGACTATTACCATTAAAATTGACAGACTAGTTCATAGTTATTTGTTGATTTTGATATTTTCTTTCTTATAGTTATTCTTTTTCCTGGTCCCTTATTTAAGTTTTCTAGATTCCTGCTATGAGTGAGACCATCCGGTATTTTTATTTTTCTTTCTGGCTTATTTCGCTGAGCATGACCCCTTCCAGCGCCATCCATGTTGCTGCAAATTGCATGTGTTTGTAGGAAAAAATAAAATAAAATAAAATAAAATAAAATAAAATAAAATAAAATGACAGTAATTTCTTTTGGTGAAAAAAAAAAATTGACAGACTACAATTAAGTCCTCTCTGCTCTGGGATCATCTTTGTAATAATTAGACTTACAGTTATATATATCTGTATTACTTAACCTTTATAACTTGAATTCATGTGCTAAATATTTGTTTTTTTGTCAATTGAGGATGAAAGGATATCTTAAAGATCATTTATTTAAAATTATAGGATTAAAGACATTTAACATTATTAAATTAATTAACATGATTAAATGAAGCTATTATCAGCTCTTCAAATATGTGCTAACTGATTTAAGTAAAGATAGTAAGAAATTTTCTTCACTATTCTTTGTAGTACTTATTAGTCATCCATGCATTCATTTATTGATTTTTTTCTATATACAGGTATATTATAACTTATACCTTGTAATATTTTTTAAAGTGTTATTTTAAATATAGCACTTATCTTCTTATTTAAATCAGTATGACAGAATTTGATACTATGAAAAAGAAGCAAAAATAAGTTTAGGAAAATTGTAGTGGAGAATATTTAAAAGTGTTACAAAATGAGATTGCCATAGGAAAAACATGCCTGTTCTTAACTCTAAGGAAAGGGTAAAAAAAGTGTAAATGGAAGTTCAGGAAGGATATGACACTTCAAATTTTGTTTATAAAGATTAATACTTCTTTTTGTTCACTTTTGAATGAATGAGTTCGGTCTGGAAGAAATTCAGTCTATATTTTTGTTTTCTCTCTCATTTTGGCAGTTGGCACTGATTTTTGCAAGGTTACATCATTCAAAGATGATGTGCCTTTTTATTTTATTTATTTTTTTAATTACTATTTTATTTTATATAATTTTTAGATCATTTTTCATTTTTGCACAATGTATGCATTATCATTTTGGTTATATTCCCCATATAATTGCACCCCCCCTTATTTTGACCCTAGTCGTTCCTCTCTCCTTTCCTTCCCCCACCCCCATAGTGTGTCTCTGGTTTATAGTTGCTTGTTGATTTTGATTTTTACTTTGTATTAATTAGTCTTTTTCCTGGTCCCTTATTTAGGTTTTCTAAATTCCTGCTATGAGTGAGGCCATCCGGTATTTTTCTTTTTCTTTCTGATATTTTGCTGCTCATGATCCCTTCTAGCTCAATCCATGTTGCCTCAAACTGCATGTGTTTATCTTTTTTGATTGCTGAGTAATAGTCCATTGTGTATATGTACCACATCTTCTTGATCCAGTCATCTATTTTTGGGCTTTTGGGTTGTTTCCACAGCTTAGCTATTGTAAATAGTGCTGCTATAAACATAGGGATGCAGGTGCCCTTTGGAATTAATGTTTCTGTGTCATTTGGGTAAATACCTAGGAGTGGAATTGCTGGATCATATGGAAGCTGTATGTTTAGTAGATCAAGAAATCTCCACACAGCTCTGCATAGTTGTTGGACCAGTGATGTGCCTTTTTAAAAAAGATTTATTTATTTATGCATACAAGAGCTGGGGCACAGGCCAGAGGTATGGGGGTGAGAGGATTCAGCAGAGACAGAGTGGGGAGCAGAACAGGCAGACTGACTGAAATACACTGCTGAGCGGCACAGCGGGCGAGTCAGGAGAGGTCTGCTGTGCCATGTAGGTAGCTCCCTGGCCGGGAATCGAACTCTTGCTGCAGTGGCTGCAGATAGCTTTATAGGTTGCGTCTTAACCCCTAGCGCCACCAAGGAGGCCAAAGATGATGTGCCTTTATTGAAAGCATCAAATGAAAATTAGCATTCTTTCAGCCTACATTCATATAGACTGATCCTATGAAAACAAAGAAAATTCCTTTCAGAGTACGTTGTATTTCCTTCTCTATAATGTGAAATTCCACTGAGCTATTTTCGATTAGGAAAGAGAACAAATGGAGAAAGTAGAAATGGATTCACCATAACAATGTCATTTTTCTCAAGGAAAAAGATAACTCAGTCTATAAAAATACGTTTGATTGAATTTTTTTTCTTAACATGTTTTATCTTTCAAGCCCAAGATGAAGATGAAAGTACTGTTCTTGCTGACGACAAATGTCAGTGTGTCCAGGTTACTTCCAGGATCATCACTGCAGAAAGTGCTTCTGAAGATATTGTGGAGAGAAACATCAAAATTTTGTATGTGGCATTTCATATTTCCTTTTTCTCATGTTGTAAGCAGATACATATACTCTCTGATATTAGTAATCTTTAAAATGTAATTCCAGTATATTTTTATCCTACTTTTTGATGTGTAGTACATGGAGTTGTATCCGGTTAATGGGCTTGAACCAATTATGTAGAAACTGGGGGCAGGACCAAAGATTTCCAGACAGTCTAAAACCAGTCAGCCAGATCAAATTATAACTGAAGGTTTCTCACCTAGTCATTAATATACTCTGTTTATATAAACAGTTATTTCAGTTTGAATCAGAACTTTCAGTTGCCTTCATCCATTCAAACTCAAATTTAAGATAATACTTAATACTGAAAACCTTATTTTGGAATATATATGGACTATAGAGTATTTGACATTGTACTCAAATGTTTGCATTCAGGTAAGGTAGACATATCAAGTTTACCAACTTGATTCAATCTTCAATTATAGGTTGAAGTTCAGATGTTCATTTCATTTCCTACATAGTTCTGAGTTATAAGCTATGAGAGTCTTACTCAATATAAAAAATGCAAATCATGTTTAAGGATTCCTCTAGGATTCAATCAGTAGTAAGACTTTTTTGTGAACCACTCTTACCTCAAGCACTTTTCCCCAGTCAAGGACTTCTTATGAAAGAGAACATAACACTTAATTCTATTTAATCAGTGGGAGATGTATAGTTATGTTTAAGAAATAGTTTCAAGTTCTGACTGGCTTACTTAATAGCTGTGTGCTCTTATATGCAAGTTACTTATCCAGTCTAAATTTCAGCTTTCTCATCTTCAAGTAGGGCAGAAATAATATGGATCTCCTAGAGTTGTAAGATCAATTGAGAAAATATATTCCTTTCATATTCCCAGCACATTTTCAAAAAAATTTGATATTTTTATATTTATCCAACCAATGTGCCAGTTATCACAATCTTAAAATGTCTTTTGGTGGTTCCCCTAACGTTTTCTTTTTTTTTTAAGATTTATTTATTTTTATTTTTATTTTTTTAAATTTTTTTTATTATTTTTTTTTATAGAGGCATGTTTTCTTTCTTTCTTTCTTTCTTCCTTCCTTCCTTCCTTCCTTCCCTCCTTCCTTCCTTCCTTCCTTCCTTCCTTCCTTCCTTCCTCCCTCCCTCTCCCTCCCTCCCTCCCTCCCTCCTTTCCTCCTTCCTTCCTTCCTTCCTTCCTTCCTTCCTTCCTTCCTTCCTTCCTTCCTTCCTTCCTTCCCTCCCTCCCTCCCTCCCTCCCTCCCTCCCTCCCTCCCTGGGTACAGTCAGAAGGGCGGGAGGGTGAGAGAATTCACCAGAGCCAGAGCGGGGAGCAGAACAGGCAGAAGGACCAAAGTACACTGCTGAGGGGAGCAGCGGGCGGCAGGAGAGGTCTGCGCGCCATGCGGGACCCTCCTCCGGTGGCCGGGAAGCAGCCGGGGATCGAACCGGCGGCGCAGAGGCCGGCGCAGCTTCGCAACCCAGCGCTCAACCGCTGCGCCACCGGGGAGGCCCGATTTATTTATTTTTATACAAGAATTGGGGTACAGGCCAGAGATGCAGGGGTGGGGTGGTGAGAGGACCCACCAGAGACAGAGCAGGGAACAGAACAGGCAGACAGACCAAAGTACACTGCTGAGGGGAGTAGTGGGAGAGATAGGAGAGTTCTGTCCCGCCATGTGGGTTTCTCCCTGGCTGGCCGGGAATCGAACATGTGCTGCAGTGGCTGTGGATTGCTTCATAGGTTGCGTCTCAACCCCTGTGCCACCAGGGAGGCCCTCCCCTAACATTTTCATTAGGATAAATTAAAAATGCCTTAGCCTAACCTATAATGCTTAACATTGCATTGTCACTTTTTTTTTTTCAATTTACGCTTGAAAATCCAGCCACTCTGTAGTGCCTTTATTTTCTCACATTCACAGTGCTTTCTTCCTCTTGTTTTTGCATGTTCTAGCTCCTCTGCCTGAAAAACTCCCTCCAAACTCCCTGAGCCTTGTGAATGCTTCCTTAATTTGAGTGTCTTAGCTTTGACATCCGTTCCTCCAGCAGGTTCTCTTCAACCACTCAGACTCCATACCACATAGTTTCCTGCAAGGAAGAGAGCAATTGGAGAAGCAAGTGATTTGAAGGGATGGCATCCATGGCTTTGGCACCTTATTCATTTTGAAGAGCACCCCATGATTCTTTAACTCTTATTCTTTTATGATGTGAATCTTAAGAGATAATATTGTTACTGAAATCAGGTAGTTTAGTAACTTCATGTCCTTTGGCAGGTGTATGTTGATGCTTTCCTGATATCATTTCTGAAAGTCCTGTTACCATTGCTCTGTCATTATGGCATTATTCCCAACTACATCACTACTAACCATGTGATGCTGGGCAAGGTACTTAACTAATTCAAGTCTGTTTCCTAAACTCTGAGAGATAATTATGTATGTATACATGCATGTGCCCATGCACATACACACACACACACACACACACACACATTTCTGAACCTTTATTACTGAAGCCTTTACAGTCTAATAAAGAATAGATGCATTTGGGCCTCCCCAGTGGCGCAGTGGTTGAGCGCTGGGCTGCGAAGCTGCCCGCAGCCTCTGCAGCACCGGTTCGATCCCCGGCTGCCAGCGAGGGTCCCACATGGCACACAGACCTCTCCTGCAGCGCCCACTGCTCCCCTCAGCAGTGTATTTCCTCGGTCTGTCTGTTCTGTTCCCCGCTCTGGCTCTGGTGAATTCTCTCACCCTCCCGTGCTTCTGACTGTACCCAGTGCTTGTATAAATAAAAAATTAAAAAAATTACTCTTAAAAAAATAGATGCATTCATTTATCAAACATTGAGTGCTACTGAATACCAATGAGCATTGGAGCTGGGGTTACAACAAGTTATATAAAACAGAGTCCATAGTATCAAAGAATTTACTTTATAGTAAGGTACCCAACTGGGTACTTTAAACAATCAAAGGGACAATTACAATATAGTGTTTGTAAATGTTATGACAGGAATAGGCATAGAATGTTACAGGAACTCTAAGGAGGGACCTCCAGTCTAATCATGGTAGGGTGGTGAGTGACAGGAGAGGCAGGAAAAAGGGCATGTGGTGGAAGTGAATGGTAACTGTTAGCTGGATGAATGGGAGTTAACCTAGTAAAATTGTGTGGGGAGTGACAGGTTTAATAGGTGAGGCAGATCATTCCAGGAAAGGGATATAGTGTTGCTGTGAGGATTATATGAGATCATCATGTAACATGTTTAGCATAGTACCAGGCACTGTAATGTTAGAACTGTTATTTTTGTTATTGTTAAGGCTGGTGATGAGAAAAGCAGGGTTAATTTGTGGAATTACAAACAGTTGTTTACAATTGGTATGAAGTGTAAAAAGGTGATAGATGAGGTTGGAGAATTAGAGGCATTGCATGCAGTGTCTTTTATGCCTTCTTAAAGCTACCCTATTACCTGGAAGAGCTAGGGACTTTCCAAGGAAGCAAAATTGTTGACAGAGGAGTTGCTGTGAAGTTTATTTTAAATGGGAAATGTTTAAAATATAGCAAATTCCTCATAGAGTGCCAAGTGCTAAATGTCCTAATTAAATAGTAAGTAGTCCTAGCAATATACCTATTCCAAAAGTCACAGTATTTCCTAGTTTAATTATTATTTTTTTTTTCAGTGTTCCTCTGAACAGCAGGGAGAATATCTCTGATCCTACCTCACCAGTGAGAACCCAATTTGTGTACCATTTGTCGGACTTGTAAGAGATTTTCCTTCACATTAATATAAATAAGGAAGTTAGTAACCTAAACTTGTTAGTAGAAATGTTTTTTTAAGTATGTCAGCACTCATTTACCAATATAATTTGAATACATTAACTCCTATGTTAATTATTAGGTATCATAAATTTATTAAACTATCAAAGATAAGACTTAGCTATAAATTTTACTAAAGAAATTGCCGTTACTACAGAGAGTGCCAATTTGTCTTAATAGATCAATAATTAGATATCAGATGCTTTGATATGTAGATGATTCTTTGGAAACTATAGAATCCAATATCAAATACTTTCTTTAAAAAAATTATTCCTTTATTATCACTATAAATAACATTTAATCTTAGTATACAGTTGGGAATAAACCTAACAGAGGAAAAGTCTCTGTAAGGTGTAGGCAAAACAATGGTATTATTGTATCATTAATTTTATTGCTTTCTTTCAACTAATTTTCATATATTAAAGGTTGAAAAATTCTACAAACTACTTTTTAAGGTAGGGTAGCTGAGGTCAGGTCAGAATTATAAGAACTAACAGATTTTGAATAGACGTGTATAGTTGCTCAGAATCTGAGGGAGCATTATATGGGCATTGTCTAATGTATATCTTTCTTTCTTCAGCTGTAAAAAATGTGATCCTACTGAAGTTGAGCTGGATAATCAGATATTTACTGCCTCTCAAAGCACTATCTGTGAAGAACCCGAGACCTGTTATACTTATGACAGAAACAAGTGCTACACACATAAGGTCCCATTTACCTATGGTGGTAAGACCGTAATGGTGAATGCAGCCTTGACCCCGGAATCCTGCTATTCTGACTAATTTAAGTCATTGCTAACTGCACAACTGCTTATCTTTAAAGGTTCTCCATTTATATCTAAAAAGTTAATGTATTTACTACTAATCAATTTGAAAACATGAATTTTTTGATAATGTAAAACACACTCCCAATAATTACTTCTCAACTGTGTATTTACTTCCTAAGTATTGAAAAATGTCACTTACTCTTGCCTGAATTGGTGTATATCCTTAAGAATACATTTTTTGGCATTTAAAAAAGGATAAGAGGGGGGAATTAAAATTCAAAGAGTAAAAATTAGGAGGCATAGTTGAGGAGAAAATTTAGTTTTTCCCCATCTTTGCCTTAATTTCTCTGTGAACCCACAAAAGAAAGTTCTTTGTTTTTCTTTTTCTTTTTTGGCTTTGCCTTGGAGAGCTAGAGCTTTTGCACATTTAATTCTATTTTTAAAAAGTAGTACTGTGTTGAGAAAATTTATATGCAAACAAAGGCCAATTCTATGTCTTCATTAGAAGAATAATAATTAGAAAACATGTTCTGAAAATATAAAAATAATTTATAAGGGATCACTAATATTTGTGAACTCAGTCAATTAAAAATTACATAATTAAAGGCATAATGAAACATGTATTAAAAAAATGTATTTTGACATAATACAGATTTAATAGCTGGTGATATAGATTTTTCTTTTTTGGTAAAATTTTTTTTTAATAATCAGGATAGTGAAAAAAAATACCCACTGGAAATCATCTATGTTGTAACTGAATTGAACAAGTATGTATCCCAAAATATGTATTCTCTAGCACAGTTTGAATAATTAAATAGATTCATAAGCATATGCCTGTGTGAAATAATTTATTGGGTAAAAGTTCGCTTGTGTTAACTTTGTTGTATGTTAAAATTTAAACTTAAAATGAAATAAATTAAACTTAAAATGAAATAAAAAGGCAAGGTCCTGCCTGACAAATATAGTGTTTATCATGACACATAAAATTTCCTTATGGCAGAATACTGTAAGTGCCAACTGGCCTGCATATCTAAAGACACTGTGGGAAGTAAATGCTGAATCTGGGTTTAAAATAATGGGAGGCTGGTTAGTAAAAGTCAATTTCTTTAAGAGGCATTATTCTGTTTTCCTTTTTTAAATGATTATGTAATTGTTAATTTCTTATCCTCTGTTTATACCAAATATTCAGTGTATTTTTTAGAGATAAGATTAAGACAACTCTGGTGCTTCAGTGGGAAGCATAGTTTTGATATGCCAGAGACATCATTATTGGCTAATTTTCAATCTAGCATGTGGTTTCAGCTAAGTCTTTGAATTTTATGTAATTAGTAAACATTTACTGCATATTTACCACATGAGAAGAACTGCGCTAGATAATTTGGTGATTAAGCTGCCCTCAAGATACTCACCTTCAGCACTCTCTGCCTAGAACTGTTGTTGTTTTTTTTCAGGAGGCTCACTGATCCTTTCTTTAAAAAATTGTAAGCCCTATTCCCTTATCTTGGTTTATTCCCCTACCACCCTTTTCACCCTCTAGATTTACGTTTTTATCATGTTTGCAGTCTATCTCCTATTTTCTCGTATCATCCACAAGGGTAGGCATTGACGTTTTTCCTGTTGAGCACATGCTGTATATATTATTATTATTTTTTAAAGATTTATTTATTTATTTATGCAAGCACTGGGTACAGTCAGAAGCACGGGAGGGTGAGAGAATTCACCAGAGCCAGAGCGGGGAACAGAACAGGCAGACCGACAAAATACACTGCTGAGGGGAGCAGCGGACACAGCAAGAGAGATCTGTCACACCATGTGGGGCCCTCACCAGCGGCCGGGGATTGAACCTGTGCTGCAGAGGCTGTGGGCAGCTTCGCAGCCCAGCGCTCAACCGCTGCGCCACCAGGGGAGGCCCACATGCTGTATATATTATGCAGCTAACACTGCTGTATAATATAGAAGAAAATTGTTAAGGGAGCAGATTCTAAGAGTTCTCATCATGGGCATGGTGCCTGGCACATAGAGATGTTCAACAAATATTTGTTGAGTGAATAAACATGAGCACAGCATAGTTGAGGAGATAAGACTTATGCATAAATAATTAGTCAGTGGGCAGAATCATAAAGGGAAAAAATGACTTCCAGTGTGTTAGGAGAGTTTATGGGAGACTTTCTTTTTTCTCCCAGTTTTATTAGGAAATAATTGACAATCACTGTGTAAATACCTTGTAAAATGATTATCACAATAGGTTCAGCTAACATGCATATTCTCATATAGACACAATAAAAGGAACAGAAAGAAGGAAAGGAAAAAGGAAAAAAAATTCTCCTTTTGATGAGAACTCTTGGGATTTAGTCCCTTAACAACTGTTCTGTACATCATATAGCAGTGCTAGCGGTAGTCATTATGTTGTGCATTATATCCCTAGTACTTATTTATCTTATAGCAGCAAATTTGTGCTTTGTGACCACCTTCCTCCAGTTCTCCCTCCCCTCATTCTGCGTCTCTGATAACCACAAATCTGGCCTCTTTTTCTATGAATTTGGTTTTATAGTACACATATAAGTGAGCTCAAACACCATTTGTCTCTGTGTGAACACATAAAAAAATTTTTTATTAGCACATTGGAGACCCCTATTCCAGCATTATTGTTTCATTAAATGCTAGCAGAAGAGGACTGCAAATTATAGTCCTGCAGGTACACCTTCTTTCAGAAGTTCAGTTCAACTCTAAGACCATTATATTAATAACAATTTAGCATTTCCCGTATTCTAGACAGTAATCTAGGATTTTGTAACTATGAACTCATTCATTATAAACCCAGAGTATCTCATCTTCATTGAGAACTATTAAAAAAAGATTAAAACATTCCTGTTTCATTCACACATTTTTCTTGCATCACTGTACGATTTAGCAGGGAATCAATGTAAATGAGGCAGCCGTGAAAGGAATCTTTGCAGGGAATGTGTGACCTGTGGCTCTGGTATCCAGCCTTTGTTTGTGTGAGGTCACGCTCTCAGTCAGTGATGATGAAGTGTAGCAAGGATATTAAGACAGGTCAGTTCCTGGGAGACAGGACTCCTCTGATGGATGAATGACAAGTGTTTTCCCCAATAAATCTCTTGTATCTGATCTCATCTTGGGTCTGCTTCTGCAGGGTCTGACTGAACATAGCTGTCATTTATGAGGTATCTGATTTAATGATAATGACGATGATCTTGAGTATTCTTCACCTACCAGGTGATTCACCTATGTTCTTTCATTTAATCCTCATAATAGCTCTTCGGGTACTACTTTCATATAAGTGAGAAAGCCAAGTCAGTGGGTAACTAGCAATTTGACTGGTTTACTCTTTTAGCAAAGGGCATGAAAACTCTGAATCACTCAGCTATAACCTTAACAACTATCATTCGAGGCTCTTTGGCAATCATGCCCAATATAATGTCAATTTTCTTAAAAGTTCATGTGGCATTTGAGGTTAATGTGACCAATTTATTGACCTGTAATAAGTCAATTTTGCTTGTACCTTTTTGTCCACTCTTTTAATTTGAATTAAATGAATGATATTACAAAAAACAGGAATGAGTGGGTACTATTGGTGGGAATGTTTGCCTTTTGCATAGTTCTGTTAGTCATTATCAGTCATTGTCTCAGTGAGTACACTCAGCACCAGCCAGAGAAAAATTATGTTAATTAGTAATGAGAATAATTAATGCTTCTTTGTGCCAGACTTGTAGAAATGAGTAGATTCAAGCCAAATATTCAGTTCTCACTTTAAGAGCATTCCATTTTAATGGTTTTACATAACTTGATATTCAAAACGAACTATAATTACACTTCTGCAATCACAAATGCACCGAGGAATAGAGTTCTAACTAGACATGCTCGGACTCCCTGGTTTAAGAGCAGTGGGACAGGAAAATTATCCTTTAATGGATTTTCCAGGTATTGGCTTTGGAGTGGCAATATTGTGTAATGGGTAAGTCCATGACCGTTAGTTGGAATACAGACTAATTAGTGACTAAATGACATTGGACAAATTCATTCATTCTAAGATTGTTTCCCCCTTTGAAAAATGGAAGTAAAAACAATGATCTCATTTTTAAAATGAAAATAAGGATACACACTGTAATTTATGTATATCACTTACTACAGTTACAGCACTCTTTAACCCTCTGTAAATTGCAGTTATTATGTGTTAAATATCTTTGGTTCTTCTCTCTGCCCAGTAGACAAGTTAGAGAAAAATGTAAAATTCATTAGGCCAATAAGTCTCAAACTTTAGCATGAACAAGACTCACCAGGAAGACTAGTTGAAACAGATTGCTGAGCCCCACACCCAGAGAGGCTGGTCTGGTGGACAAAATGCAGCTGGAGCAACTGCGGGTCTCAAAAAATTCCCAGGTGCTGCTGCTGCTTGGGAATTATGAATTTCTAGCTCCACCTAGCGGTTAAATTATGAAATCTATATTAATTTTAATGTTTCATTTAATCCTCACAAAGGACCAAGGCAATAAGTACCATATTCATTTTAAAAATGATGAAACTGAGATGCAAAGAGATGAAGTAATTTGTTCACAATCTCACAAGTAGTATGTTGATCCCAAACTGTCAAAACTCCAAAGTCAGTGCTCTCATTTCAGTGTGTTATGTTGTCTAAAATGTTTTCAGACCATTCGTCCCAGTAATCCCATTTCTGAGAAAATTATCAGATGGACAGAGGCATCAAGATATTTATCACAACTTTATTTATGATAGTGAAAATTCATAAGAAACTTTAAATTCATCGTCAAGGGAATTATAATATAGTTATACTGCAAAATATTTTATAGGCAATGAAAGTGAAGTTTTAGATTATTTTTAAATTTAGTGGAATTGATTATATGCTTCCAAACACAAATAAGAGAAAATAGGCCAAAATATTAACATTGGATGCTAGGATTATGTGTTATTTTTCACTTGTTTTCTTTTACTTTTCAGTATTTGCCAAATATTCTACAGTTATAATTAGAAAACATGAATTTTATTTAAAAATCAATTAAATTTTGTGAAATTCTGTTTTTATATTCATTTACAAAATGTACTTAAAGAAAAAGTGACATTTATTGGCATCTACTCTGTGCCCAGCATAGAGCTAGATGCTACAAAGGATACATAAGAAGAATAAGAACTGGCCTCAGTTTTTAGGAATGTTCTTTCTCCTTCTGCAGGCAGAACTAACACAAGAAAAAGTTATTACATGATATGAGACATTGTGTACTTAAACATAAAAGACAAAGTGCTATGAGCCTTTTGGGAAGCCTGGAATGTTAGCGTTAAGATAAGCGTGGGGGAGATATTAAAGAGGAGTTTCTCATTTGGAAGTAGATCTTGCTGGAACTACATAAGCCAGGCAGAGACAGGAAGAAGCATAACACAAATGAAGGAACAGAGACAGCATGGGCTTGCTTCTCTTTCTTTTTGTGTTCTTAAATCCAATCTTTCATTTATGTACATTATCTATACACATCCTCTTGAATTAGTGATATTCAGCTTTTTCAGTTGTTACTTTCCTTGTGAGTATGTTGTCATTTTGTATTTACAGGAAATAGGCTAGCACTCTGACACTCCAACTTTGGCCTACCAACTAGCTTGATTCATCATCACATGGGAGCATGTTTCTGCTACACAGTTGCCCTTCTCCAGATCATTTTAACAAGATTCATGTTGTAGGGTAAATGGAAGTGATCAGGTTTTTTCCGCCCCCCCACCATTAGCATCAATGATCAACAACTATGGTCTTGCACGCGTGCTTTATGGTGGGCCTGGAGCATGCTGTGGGCGTGCGTGAGTGGGTGCATCCAAGCTGAGCGACTGAAACATATAAGGGCGGCAGCAGAGAACAGAGGTGCGTGGAGGTAGAGGACCGTGCAGTGGCGTACAGTAGAGACCAGTGAAGAGACTACAAGAGAAAGCCAGAGAGCTCAGAGAGTAAAGATTCCCTAGGAGCTGGGAGGTCTGCCAGCCTCTTGGCCTCCTGGACTCCCTGCTTGTCCTGCACAAATGGTGTAGAAAGATCATTAAAAGCCTCAAAAAGCCACTGAGGGCTCTAAGACTCCTCTATCCATATGCCTAGATCATAGAGAATCTGTTTTGTGCCTTCCTGGCACTACACATGTCTACATTAAAACTTTAAAAATTCTGGTAGAGCAAGCAACATGGTCATTACTCTGATAGTAGTTAAAGGAGGCAACTCTCAGCATGGTTGACAATCAAGGGACTGACAAAGTCCTCCCCAAACAACATTTTCTACCATTATCCTTCCCTAAATGTGCCATGATTAGACTCACTCTTTAAGGGCATGGTAAATGACTAGGGAATGCTAATGCTACATATCAGCCAACTCTTGAGAAGGAATCGTACCAGTTCAACTGCAGCGAATAACTTCTTACCAGTGCAGAAAGGAATGAGACCTGGCTACTTGGGTAAGCTCAGAGGTTAGCACTGATGCTTCTGATGAAGCAAAGAGGTGGAGGATGCTGGGTCTTTAGGCAGATGAAATGGGGTGCTATGAGGGTAGAGGAACTTGTTTAGGGAGGTGATGGGTCATTCAGAGCAACTTCATTATTTTCATAATTATGTCTGTCTTGAGTTATAAAGCTCCCTTCCTTCTTGCTTCTTTATCTGAAGAATTCTGCTCTGCCAACTTGGAATTTTGTTTGTTACCAGCTGAAGCCTGTTTTAAATCTTCTTGGTTATAAATTCAAAGTGAGAAAAAAAAGGCTCAGTGGCTGATGTTACTGGGCTCGGAGTGAGGTAGAGAAGCAAGAGCAGGTGGGCAAAACCAAATGCTATTTTCTGTTGTGAGATGGTGATTATCTATTTTCCACCATGTACACGTTGTTTCTGAGGTTTTATTGGGCAGCTGCTCTGAGTCACAGTGAAACCTTGGAGGTTTTGTGAAGGAGGGATGTGGCTGTTGATTTTAATCCCAACATTTCTGGTTCTCTTTTGGTTTTTAGAAATGAATTTTGGTTTCCTGAGTATAAGGTGAATATTCTTCAGGGCCCATATGGTCATGACTGAAGTAGACTGGGGTGAAGGAGGAGAAAAACAAATAGGCAAAAATATGTCAAAACAAATAAAAGTAGCTCCAAGGTCATGTCTTCTGAATTTTCTTTAGAGATGTATAAAGACTGATGCAGTGACTAAAGTAGGACATATTCAGGGGAGCCAAAAAGAAGAATTTCCATGATAATGGCTACTAGACTGTTCTCAGAGGCAACCAGAATCTGTGTATTATCATCATCCTACTCTGCTTCCTGCTTAAAATGAAAAAGTGAAAGATTTCCTCCAGCTAACTGATCAATGCCCAACTGCCCTGTAGGGTAAGTGAAGTTGATGAGGCTTTTGACACCATTGGCCTCTGTGGCTATCACCTGAGGCCTTGATCGTGTTACTGTAGGAGGCACGTTAGTGTGAGGCACAAGTGCCTGATTATGAACACCTGATCATGTGTGTGTGTGCATGTGCAAGTGTGCACATTTGAGCCTAGGAGGGAGGGAATAAGCGGGCAGTGTCACACTGGGGAAGGACAGCTAAGAGAACATGCTGCGTGACTACAGAGGCAAGACCACGAGAGAAAGCCAGACAGCCTAGAGAAAGAGTACAGATTTGTGGGGGCATTAGGGGGCTCAGTTGCCTCTTGGGCCTCTCGCCCCCCTTGCCTGGCCTCCCTGTCTTGCTGGCTTTTGGGCTGCCACAATATGCCCTCTAGAGAAAGCTATTTTAGGCTGTAAAACAGAAAAACTCTTAAGGTAGGTGTGGTTACCCTTACTGGATTATCACCTGTGTTAGTCATCCTTGGGTGTTATTTTCATTTTCTTGCTTTACTTTATCATCTAAAGACATCATCAGGATGTTTCCAGCCATCTTAGAATCAGTTGGTGACTGTCTCTAGGTTAGGAACTCATGCTCATGGAGTGATGGTAGTGGAATGGGGTTCTAGGGACAAAAGGGGAGCCACTTTCAGAGTCTGTCATCATAATGATGAACACCTTAACCTTTGTGCTGATTTTAAATGTTTTTCCATAATATAGGAAGGTCATGTAGAATGATTTCTTTACTACAAGAAATTCAGACTTGTTCATATTTGCAGAAGGATAATTATACTAATGAGGTGAGGAGTTATTTTTTCAGGGACATTTTCCCTCCTTTTTTTTTTTTTTACTGAAATTGAGATGTTTTTGTCTCATTGTTCTTTCTCACATTTTAAATTCCAGGTAATTTGAACTGTGGTACTTCATAGATGCAAAAGTGTCAACCTATCTTCCAAAAACACACAATCCATGCAATTTGATGTAATAATAAAGTGAATGATAATCTTACAATGAATATCTCATATATAGATTGAGAAATCATTTGGAAAAAATGTGAAATATAACAACCTAATTTTATTTTGATGAGGATAATTCTTGAGACAGTTTCATATAGTACACTTTAATGGTTTTTCGATGTGTGATTAAAATATGAAACTGATGGTGGTGGATTTAAGCAACTATCGGATAACCTCATTAGTCCACCTGTCAGATCCCTTCTTGTCATGAGATTCTGTGAGGCAAATGCTGCCGAATATAGAAAACTGCAGTGTGGTGACTCATTCTGTAGCCCAGAATGTTTACCGCAGAAAAGCACCCTGCATTATTTTCATGGGAGTGTTGAGGCTTTTAAAAAATCAGTCAGTTAATGTTTATTGGGTATGTACTATGAGCAAGACACTGCGCCAAGAATGTTAGAAGACTTAAAGAATGAGACTTTTTCTTTCTCTAGAAAGGAATATAAAGATAGTAGACCAAAATGCCACTAGTAAAAACAAAACAAAAAACATGTACCAGTATTCTAAGCAAGGCAATATAGAAATACCTAATTTACAAAATAATTTACACTATTTAATCAAGATATGGAAAGCATGTCTGCAAATAATTCTACCAGGACATGAAATCCTTATGTTTGCAATAGCATATACAAGTAGAATCATTTATAGCAAAATAATCATTGAATCTTTCTCTTATTTGGCTAGGGTAGTGTTTCTTAAAAAGGGTACTCTTTACATCCTGCAAATTATGAGTTAGTGAGGAGTTGTGGCAAGTCTGACTCCATTTATTGGAATGCTCGGTGTCAGAGTGACAGTCCTTTCTGCCCTACCTTCCTAAGCCTCTTCCCCAGGTTGCTGGCCTGTTTTTTCCCATTCCCTCCTTGAATGTGTTCCTCTGACTGAATTGTGTTTATCTGACAAAGGCCATAAGAAAATGAAAGCCAAATAGGTATTACTGTCTACTATTTCTGAAATCTATTCTACAATGATGGTTAGATTGGGCCAAGGAAAAAAATTAGGATATGACTTGGAAAGTAGATAAAAAAAGGAAGAAAGACAGGCAATCTGAAGGTATAAAACTGGTAGACTAATAGAGAAGAGTCCAAGAAGGGATTGATTTGACAAATGATAAACCAGGAGGCAGAGTAGAAAGTTGGAAAGACATGGAAAAGATAAATATAAACTAATGATAGTTGAAAATAGTATGTAGGAGGTGACAGAGCAAAAGATAGGAAAGAAAAAAGAAAGTAAAATAATGAATGGTTAATATAAGAAGAAAGAAGAAATGAGGTAAAGCAAGAGGTAGTAGAAGAAAATAAATGCTAAAAGAGATCATTAACTATAGGGAAAAAATGTACAATGCATCACAATTACACTGATATGTAGACCTCCATACATAAAATGGAAAGTTTATCTGCCTTTTTGTCTTGCAAAACCAGATAATTTTGCAAGTATGGAACTTTGAGAGGAAAAGGAAGAATCAACAAGCAAAGGGAAATAACCTAAACAAGTGGCTTCCATGTACCAAGGCAGGGGTAGTTATAGGCTTCCTGCATTAGCTAATTAATTAATGTTTTAATTTTTTTGGTCTGTGCTCTATGTATTACCTCAGATCTAGTTTTTACATAAGAGGCCCAACCTCATTCTCATCACCGGGGCCACTACTAGTGCTGGAATAGGCAAAATCTTAAGGATCATCAAGAAGGTCAGACACTTACTTGAGTTGGGGGTTTGGGGTACATTGGGAAAACTGTAAAATATCAGGTATTTTCTTTCCCCAAATAATGCTTAGTTGAGGCAATCCCTAGGCCTGAAGTAGTAAGCAGTCTTGTACATGGTGCTGTGGATTGGAGCCTATTTGAAGGGAATCAAATGGAGTGTGTTCACCTGCATTAAGAGGATCTACATTTATACTCTGAAACTCTGCCTGAGTAGCTAGCCCAGGGATTTCAGTAGGCATGATTGGATCCCCATCAAATGGGCCATGCCTTCCAATGCTAGTTGGAGTTCCAGTGCTGGAGGAGTGATACTTTGCTAAGTTAGAGTCAAAACATGGTAACTTGAGGACGCTAGATGGTCTTCGTTGCTGCCTTTCACCCTCATTTTCTGGCATATCACTTTCGATTCCTTCTGGCTTGAGGCTTTCATCAACGGTACTGATAACAAGCTGCTCTGGAGTAAGGTCTACAGTTCTTTCATTGAGCTGGTTGCCTTCAAATACTTGTTCCAAGACCTTGTTTCCATCTCCTCCAAGATCATTTTTGAGACAAGGTGTATTCTTTGATTGAAGGGAATTGGCTTCAGATAAGGGCACAATTCCCCTTTGGCCCAGTTGATTCTTTATGGAACATGGTGTGTTCCTTCTCAAAGTGGACACATCATCTCTAAAAGGACTTGGGTTTTGACTTTCTCCAGGCAGTCTTTTCTCTGAGTTGTTTCTTTGGCCAGATAGGATGCTTGTTGGGGAGATGGTATGCCTAGCATGCTTAGTATGACTATCTTCTGTATGCAGAAGGCTGGCATCTTGGTTCTCCTCTGGCGCAAGACCATAGGAGGGAGTGTAGTCTTGAAGAGCAAGTGGATTATCCTTTTGCCCCATGGAGCCACCAGCACAGCAGGGGCCTCTGTGGTTTAGATGAAATACATGTGCTTCTTTCTGACCTGCTGGGTGATTTGGAGGAATTGAGTCTGGAAAAGCCAAGTGTTCTCCCTCTGGTAAATTTAACTTAGTAATTTGCATCTCATAATTCATATTCTCTCCTTTACCCCATCTTGGATTTTTTTGAAGTCCAGCAGGAGAGTTGCTGGAATAGAGATGGTTCTCTCTCTGGTGTGGTGGAGTAGCAGGGGCTTTGTGTGAAGTTGGTGGCTGATCCCAGAAATTTCTGTTAAAATATGGCCCTTTTTCTTTCTGCTCTTGGGTCTGAATCCTGTGGTCCCAGGAGTTCCAGGAAGGAAACAGAGTACTTTCTTCTTGTCCAAGGCCATTATTAGCATAGTAACCCCTGCTCTCCACAGGTGGTGGAACAGAGGGAGCTGTATTATATGATGGATAATTCTCCTCTGGATTCCAGGAGTAAAATTCACGATAAGGAAAGTCCTCTCTGGGTTTTGATGGGTTATCTAAGGAATAGGGAAGGTATTCCTTTGGTTGATATGAACTGTATTGCTTGCCTTCATAGTGCCTAACTGTTGGCCCTTCTTTAAAACTTGACTCTTCCATACCCCATCTACTTTGTCCTGGGAAAGTTTCATCTCCAGTTGGATCAGCTGGGTCCTCTTCATTATAAGGAATCATCTCTTTTGGGTCTGGAGTATTCATGGGGTACAGTGGATTTTCAGGTTGTCTCATAGTATTGGGAGAATCATCTCTCTCATTCCATGTATTGCGTCTAAGGTATGGTGAGTTTTCCCTGGGATCATAGGGGTTATAGTCAGGGTAGTAAACACCTCCTCTAGAGCCAAGGGAAGGATGAGGTAAGTGTTCTTCCTGCCTGCCAGGTTCTTCCTTAAAAGGTGGAGATATTTCTTGATGGTTCCAAGTACTTCTTCCAGCAGGGAAATGTTCTCTTGCGGGGGAAGGGATTTCCTCAGGGTATACAGGATGATATGCATTTTGCTTTAATTCTGGCCCATTAGTTTCTGATTCATATGGGATTCTTTCTGGCTCTAAAGCAATTCCTTTGGGCAAATTCTGACTTTGGGTCTGGCCATCAGAACTTGGTGCTCTTCTGGAATCTCCTCTAGGAAAAAATGAGTTATGTTGATCAACAGAATTAAAATTTGGGATTAGCATATTACCCTCAGGGTGAGGCTGTTTATAGTTAGATTTACTAACTCCATAATCTTTATTAACTCCATAATCTTGAGAGTTTCTCCAGGGGCCAGTTGGATCCTTTGTAGGAATGACTATTCTTTCCTTTTGACCTAGTGGCTTCTCTCTTGGATATTGAATTTTTTCATTTTGGCCAACAGTATCATGTTTGGGACCCAGAGGGGCAACATTGGTTCCCATGGGTTGTTTATTTGGAGCTGGAGGCTTTCTTCTGAAATTTACTGGATTTCCTGCATGATTGGGAGAATTGCCTCTTGCAGTGTTAGCATAAGCTTTGCGATAAATTGGAGTTCCTGGACGAACTACTTGCTTACTTTGCAAAGCATAGGAATTCCATCTAGGACCCCTTTGAATTTGTTGATTTCGGTAAAAAGGTCCATTCTGTCTGTGCCCCATGATGGTACCAGTGGGACGCCATTGTCTTCCTGCAGGATAATTTCGGATGTTAGGATTTGGATATGGCTGATAAACATTTGGCTGACGTGGTCCATATGGGATTTGATTTCTTGGTACTCCCTGGCCTGAAACATTAACTACAGGGGGTGGGATGACTCCATTTTGAGCTGTAGGGTTGCTTCCAGCATTTGGGCCATGGCCACTATTTCCAGTTGGGCTGGTGTCGTTTCCACCCTGATTCCCTCCAGGATTGGGTGCATTTGGTTGGGTAGAATTAGTTTCAGGAACTGTTGAATTAGATGAGGGTTCTGTGGCTGGGCTTTCCGTTTTAGGAGGGTCTTTTTCTTTGGGTTTTTCAAAATCTTGTTCAAACATCTCTTCTGAATAATAAGGAGGACGGCCCCCAAATCCCTGATATCCAAAATATCCAAAGTAAGGATTCTGTAGGAAAGAAGATGGAAATCAGTAATAACTCTGTTTTCCACTAGGGTGTTGACTAGAAGTTATAATGTGATAAGGAAATCTTAATAGCCACATGCTACTTTTAACCCCATTGTCTATGCTTTCTGTCTTGAAATTTGATCTCTCCTTGCTTTCTGTGCCCCTACTTCCTCTGGTTTGCTATTCTGACAATCTTTCTGCCCATTATGTCTCAGTTTTCTCTTCTTAGGCCTGGACCCTAAATTTCAGTTGTTTTGTTTTTTTAAGGATGCCATCCTTTATCCTCCTCATTTTTTTTTTTTTTAAGATTTATTTATACAAGAACTGGGGCATAGGCCAGATGCCCTGGAGGGTGAGAGGACTCACCAGAGACAGAATGGGTAACAGAACAAGCAGACTGACTGAAATAGACTGCTGAGGGGAGCAGTGGGCGAGACAGGAGAGGTCTACCTCGCCATACGGGATTCTTGCGGGCGGCCGGGATAGAACCCGCGCTGCGGAGGCTGCGGACAGCCTCACAGTGCGGCACTCAACTGCCTGCACCACCAGGAAGGCCCCATAGCCTCCTCATTCTTTTGTTTCCATTTAATACACCTGCCTTGTGCAATCTGCTGCGGCCAATCTTTCAATCTGAATATGCACCAGTGACTCAAAAAGGCATAATTACTGGCCCATGACATGACCTCATGAGTATCCCTAACTGAATGTACCCAGAAGTGGCCTTACCTCCCCCAAAACTTTCTTCCCCAATATTCAATATCTAATATCCCTAGCTATTTATCCAGTTGCCAAGTTTCTGATCTCCTCTTTATTTTCCCAAGACAATTAATGACTGAGTTCTATAAGATACAAATTTTCATCCTAGTCCCCTCCTCCTCCTAGCCTATTGCAAAAAGTTTTCTTACAGGTTACTCTGAATATAATTTTACTTTGCTCTAATCTTGGCTCTCCACTGCCATCAAAACAGTAGATTGTGGTAGGTGTATGGGAAAAGTTCTGTCACTTTTCCTCTTTAAATACTATTAAATTTACCCTCCTCTTAGAGGATTAAACTCTAAACCTCATAGGGTAACACAGAAAACAGTATAGCATTGTACTAAAGAGTGGGGCTCTAGACAGATATGGGTTGAAATCCCTGTTCCATCAGTAGCAATAGTTTGACTCTGGGCCAATGTCAGGTTATAGTAAAATAATATGGAGATAGTAAAATAATAACTACCCTGTAGATTGTCATGAAGATCAAATGAGATAGCATATGTAAAGCTCAGTGGCCTGTCTTAAGCACCAAAGTTACATATTGTGTATTAATAATGTTAATAATAATAATTTTTACAATCATCTGCTCATAGCTATCACATTCAGTCTTCTCCTCTTTATGCAGTTACAAATCACAACTACTCTTTGCAATACTATTCACAATGGCCAAGATGTGGCAACAACTTAAATGTACATTGCCATGTGAATAAAGAAGATGTGGTATATACATGCAATGAATATTAATCAGCCTTAGAAAAGAAGGAAATTCAGCACTATTCAATAATGTGGATGAAACTTGAGGACATGCTAAACAAAATCAGGTGAGTCACAGAAAGACTAGTACTGCAGGCTTCCACTTATACAACGGATCTCAAATAGGCTATTTCAAGGAATCAAAGAATGGAATGGCAATTACTAGGGGTTGAGAGAGGGAAATGAAGAGTTACTAATTAATGGGCACAAAATATCAATTAAGCAAGATGAATAAGCTCTAGAAATCTGTGCAACTTTATTCCCATATTTACACTTCAAAATTTGTTTTGATGTACAATGGTTCAGCCCCTATGGAAAACAACACAAAATTTTCTCAAAATATTGAAAATAGATCTACCACATGATCCAGAAATTTCACTCCTAGGTATCTACCTGAAGAATGTAAAAACACTAATTTAAAGGGATATATGTACTCCTGTGTTCATTGCAGCACTATAGTTATGGAAACATTTTAGGTGCCCAAGGACAGGTGAGTAGAATAAGATGATATGTTATATATATAACATTGAATATTAATCAGTTTTATAAAAAAAGATAAACTCTTGCCATTTGCAATAACATGGATGGAAATGGAGGGGATTGTGTTAAGCAAAATGATGACACAATATAGAACATTTTATTAGTATATCACTCTGACATGCATCTCTGTGTGTATACTAGTGTGCATACTTAAAAAGAGAAAACAACTGGAGGGGGTTTCAGAAGATGTGGGTTCTAGGTCGAGTTTATCCATTAATTCCATTGGTGAAGCAGAATTGTAATTTATCTTCTCTGGGCTTCAAATTGTTTGCACAATAAGACAGGTGATTACTTAGTTCCTTTCTGGAGATAACATTCAAAGAGAGTTTTAATTCCTTCTCTGTTTACTAGCTGTACTAATTGCTCTGTCATTCTCTAGAGTCAGCTGCAATCTGGAACAAAGCTTTTTAGGTTAGCCTTCAGAGAGAGAGAGAGAGAGAGAGAGAGAGAGAGAGAGAGAGAGAGGTATAGATGTATTTCAATACATGTGTCACAATTATCTTATGTTACTGGGCTTGATTTGCTTCACTTTTCTTAAATCACAGGCACTTGAACTACAGGCTCATGTACTGAATTTTTTCTTAGACAGAAATCAAAAAAGCAGAAACTATTGGATTGTAGTTCTTACCAAGGAATGTAGATTTACTTGTACTTACCCCCCCTTCTTCATTGCTGACTGGTGGGCGTCCAAAACCTGGTGGTACCCTCTGAAAAGTGAAAAAGACAATGAACACAAGAGACTACCATTGCTGTCATTTGTTTGTAAGTCTTAGCATCTCTCAAAATAGTTCAAGTCAGTGATTGTGTGTTAACATTATTAGCTTTTGAGTCATTCGTTCTCCTAATCTAGATATTAATAGTTGTAACATAACCTATGCTATTAAATATAAAGGCTTTAGGTGGCTCTTAGTTTAATTAAACACCACATATGGCTCTATCTCCAAGCAATTGCCTTGCCCAGCATCTCCAATACACACACACTCACACACACACACACACAGACACACACACACACACACAGAGAGAGAGAGAGAGAGAGAGAGAGAGAGAGAGAGAGAGAGAGAGAGAGATTTGAGAGCTATTAGGATCCAAATATCCACACTGGAACATCTGATAATGGAGATTAAATAATGTTGTTATTTTTAAAGAGTCTATTTTGTATTTAGGGTGACAAACTGATAATCATTCCTGGATTACTGCCATGACATTTTTATTTGACCGAGTTTTATTTTCCTAACCAAACTTGGAGACTGAGTTTCTGCTCAAGGGCCAGTTTAGAAAAGCAGTTCAGCTCCCACAGACCTTGAAGAAATCCTTTGAATATGAGATTAAGAGCTAGCTCAGCATATAAGAATCATATTCATCTGCTTTTTAAATCTTCACCTGATACTGTTTGTTTCCTTAGTACAGTATGGCCCATGAGGGAAATTAGTCTTTTAACGGAAAAAAGTAAGGGACTCTCACTCCTTGAAATTAGTTATTCCTTGTTGATAAGTCTTCTTGATTATAGAATTATAGATAAGAAAAACTCATGCCATAACTGAATAAAGAGCCATCAAATATGCCTTATTTTGTTAGTTTAACAGCATAGATATTACTATTCTGTTTGTTCAAATATTTTTATGATTTTTTTTTCTTTTAGCTGTAAGATTTGAGTTACAGAACAGTAGGTTTTTAGCTCCTGAGACTTGTACCAATACTGCTTCCTTCTTTTTCTTTTTTTTTTTTTTGCCATTTAAAAATTTTATTTATTATTTTATTTCATATATTTTTTACATCATTTTTCATTTTTGTACAATGTATGCTTTTTCCTCATGCTTATAGTCCCAGTACAATTCCCACCCCCCTTGTTTTCATCCTATTTCCTCCTCCCACCCCTGTATTGTGTCTCTGGTTTATAGTTGCTTGCTGATGTTGATTTTCACTTTATTATGATTCATATTTTTAATGCCTCTGATGCAATTTCAACATTATGTTTTATTTTAATGGTTTTAATTTTAACTATAAATTTTATTTTGCAAGATTCTTTATAAAATGTCTCTGTAGCTAGAAATAATATATGATGGAAAGATCTTAGTCTAATCACAGTTTATCTTATGATTTTTAAACTCCATTCTCCTCAGTTTCCCCATTACATTAAATGATGGTAAGTTTATATTTTCTAATATCTCAGGGAAGTGGGAAATAATGAAGTAGCACAAGCCTTTAAAATTAATCCCTAAACTAAGCTGTTATTAGCTGTGTGATGATTTAGGCTGTGTTCATGGTACTAATTTGAGAAAAATTTTGTTTAAAAATTTTTTTCACTATAATTACTGATGTGAAGATTCTGTTTTGTGCCCTCTATTGATTGGTATATGGCACTCCACTTAGAATGTATGGATTCATACTAGTTTGAGACATTATTTTCACTTCTAGCATAGGGAAGAAAAACTTACGTGTGGAATTTGCCATGGTGGCTGCTGATAAGGAAATAGCCCATTGCCAAATGGTGGGAAGGCCTAGAGAGAAAGAAAGAATTATTGAGATGTGGAAATGCGTAGAATAAATGAAAATGAAACAAACCTACTAAAAACAATTATTTGGAATTTGTGTGTCTATATTTCATTACATTATATTATATTTTTAAGCAGAGATGATAATAAAAACAGCAATTAGTATTATTGAACAATTATATGTAGGTTTCTTGTTAAGTATTTTACATTGGTAGACTCATTTAATCCTGACATAACCATGGAAGATGTATGCTATCACTATTCCCAATTCACCAAAGATTCTGAGGCTGAGAAGTTAAGTCATTTGCTCCAAATCTTTGAGCTGATAAATGATTGAAACCAGGTTTCAAATTCATGAACACCTTTTCATCTGATTATTTTTCTCTAGAATAATGTCTAATAATAAATGTTAATTCATTAAAAGACTTTTAGAATGAGATTTTGAGAAAACAATAGCACATCTTGTTGCTTTATGTTAGGATTTTAACTTATGCCACTCTGAAGTACTTCAAGCAGTGTTATCTTTTAGGGCAATACTTTTGACCATCATGGCATAGATTTGGAAAGGACTTAGAGATCATTTTGTTTGCTCAGGGAACTGGAGTCTAGAAGAGTGAAGTGACCTGCTTTCAATCACACTATTAAGGGCTGGAACAGAACTGAAATCTCTGTTCCCTGACTCTTCTGTTGGTGCTCATGTTATAATACCATGTTATCTCTATTTTAAAAGGAGTCTCTTTTAAGGCAGTAGTGTTTGGATAATTTGTAACCAAAGATGAAGTTGGTTTGCCAAGAAGTTTAAGATCGGTGGTGACAGCAGCATCACCTTGGAAGAAAGTGTCAAACTAAAGATTCTGTTTTGTACATAAGTAGTACCTACAGTAAGGAGCATTGAAGAAGTGTGTACCTACAGTAAGGAGCATCCCGAAGTGGCATGGCTCACTGAAGCTATCTGTGACTCTGATTTAGAATTTTATGGGCAAGCCTCACCTGAGGTGTCTGAACTTCCTCTTGGGGTTGAGTTGGGGCAGGTGATGGCTGCTTTAAAGGTCGCTTTGGTGGTGGTTTTTTTGGCTGAGGCTGGTTGGGTTTTGGGGTCTCTGGGTTTTGATCAGTCTTGCTTTGGCGTTTGGAAGATGAAGGAGATGAAGGTTTCTGTGGGCGTCCCATCTTGGGTGGTGGCTGAGGCCACATGGGCATCTGGTACTGAGGGAAGAGCTGAGGCATTTGCATGCCATTTCCATACATGGGGCCTAGATGTGCCATCTGAAAGAGTAGCAAATAACAGTCACATCACACAGGGCTGAGATTCAGGCTCTTTCCACTCTTTAGTTTCTGTCTCTAAAACTCAGACAAGGAGCTTGAAAATCCTATGGAACTTGACTGGGCAAAGGAATCTTTAACATCTTAAGCTAGCATTTCTTTAAATGTTGTCTTACAGAAATAAATTTCAGTCTTCTGGAGAAACAAGCAAACCAAAAGTCACAATTAGATTTTATTTTATTTTTTTTTAAATATTTATTTATTTATTTATACAAGCACTGGGTACAGTCAGAAGCGCGGGAGGGTGAGGGAATTCACCAGAGCCAGAGCGGGGAGCAGAGCAGGCAGAGTGACGAAGTACACTGCTGAGGGGAGCAGTGGGTGGCAGGAGAGGTCTGCACGCCATGTGGGACCCTCCTCCGGTGGCCGGGGAGCAGCCGGGGAATGAACCGGGGCCGCAGAGGCTGTGGGCAGCTTCGCAACCCAGCGCTCAACCGCTGCGCCACCGGGGAGGCCCACAATTAGATTTTAGTTTAAAAATTTGTAGCAGTTCAGGTTAAGAATTTGCTGATGATTTTCTAATTCTGAAGCCTCATTCAGGAGAGAAGTATTCAAGTCAAGTGACAGAGGAACTCATGTCAATTTTAAAATCCCTTTGGCTTGTTATAGTCTAGAAAGGGTGGGGCGGGGGGAAATAAAAAGAAGATAGAGGAAGTGAGAGTGTTAAAAAGGAGAGAAAATGAAAATTTGGTATGTAAATGCTCTCTTGTTTCTTGACTGAAGGTGAATTCCCCCAGTTAGTTTTTAATGATCAGAAACTCCACAATTACAAGTTTGACAGGGAAGCAGAAATAATTATAATCTAAAAATGCTAGTTTATGAATTGATCTCTTACAATGTCAGTTTTCATTCACACATTCCTTCCCTGGTTTAACACTCTCTCTATCTCGTCACTCAATCAGTCTCTCACTGTCTATTGGATGATGGACACTATGTAGATGCCTGTGTGGATTGATGGAAGGTGAAATTGCAAATCTCACATGAAGATGCAGTATATTTTTTTTAATTTTATAGAGGCATGTTTATTTATTTGTTTGTTTGTTTGTTTGTGTTTTGTTTATACATGCATTTGGTACAGTCAGAAGCGCGGGAGGGTGAGAGAATTCACCAGAGCCAGAGCAGGGAGCAGAGCAGGCAGAAGGACCGAAGTACACTGCTGAGGGGAGCAGCAGGCGGCAGGAGAGGTCTGTGCGCCATGCGGGACCCTCCTCCGGTGGCCGGGGAGCAGCCGGGGATCGAACCGGCGCCGCAGAGGCTGCGGGCAGGTTCGCAACCCAGCGCTCAACCGCTGCGCCACCGGGGAGGCCCAAGATGCAGTATTTGATGACAATTAAGTTGGTGAAAATTTCAAATCACAGACAAAAAACTGAGAACAAGAGCTTGAAAGAAAGGGTCAATAGTTGAAGTATAAAAAATTGACAATAATGATAATTTTAGGTGAGAGGTTTTAAAAGAGAATGACTTAAATGAAAAGGATTAAGAGAAAATTGATTAAGCCCTTGAGGCCCCCACCCCCAAAATAGTTCTCATGATTATGTCCTAAAAGTCAATGATATATATTTATCATATATATGGAATAGATATCATGTATATGGAATAGTATATATATATATTATCATTGTGCTATCATATAATTTTATCAGGGAAATATGCCAAAAGATGCGATATTTGATTCATTATAAGTTAGTTCTAAGAATTAGTACATAGTGGTAAATATAACCTAAATTTACTTAAATAAATTTTTTTGTATAATTTTAGTGTTATCTCTCAAAGTAATAAATAAAATTTACCATTTCCATGTAATTACTGTTATTTTTTGTTCTAATTACTTTTGAATATATCTTCAGTGATATATTGATATATTGATCTCAGAATCAATTTCTCCTGGACATAAAGAACCCTTGCAATTAATAAATGATTTAAATTTGCATAAAAGAGTAACAGTAATGAATAAAAAGAAAATTTGGTGTAAGGGGTCAGATAAACTGATTTTTACCCCCTTGAAGTCTTTATGATGATTATATCGTATATATCAAAACATGTAGATACTTAGCGATGTCTTCATTAACAAAAACAAATCTTATAAGGTAATTACCTATATATAAATAAGAAATAATATAAAGTGGGACTTACATGTGGAGAGTTCATAAAGTTGAACTGATTATACCGCATCATCTGTGACCAAAAGAATCCATTAATGTGACACAAAGTGAAAAATTTTCATTGAATCAATCCACAAATCATAAGAAATAAGTTGAATTTATAATCTTAAGTTATAAGTCATAGTCTCTTTTACTAGTTATATATAAATTTGAAAGCATGCAATTAAAAAACTTCTTTGATGAAATGTCAGAAGGAGAAAGACAAATGCAGGATGGTCTCACTTTATGCAGAATATAGAGAAACATGATGAAGGGTCAGACAAAACCAAGCCACTAATAAACTCTTAACATCTAACTGTAAAACTGAAGCAAACGCAATGGGAGAGGGGGAACCGAATAGAATGTGCTAGAGGATTGTTGGGGCACTGATGGTGAGCTGGGCGAGGAAGTGTACATTTGTAGAGATTTGAACCTATAATCCCCAGAGCAGACACAATGTTGTAAACCTATTTTATCACAATAAACATAATTTGGGAAAAAGAAGAAAATTTTATTTTGAGGAGAATAAATACAGAATAACAGAGAATAAACTGTTAATCTACTTTGAAGTTTTTGAATGTTCTACTCTAGAAGTTCAGGATTTCACAACATGATAACTCTGAAAAGATGTATCTCCTTTCTGATGTGTGTTTAATTTGGTTAATGACGCTGCTTATGAGTAATGTGAAAGATATTTATATGCTTATGTCTCTAACAATCCTTAGTACAAATGGCTATGTTTACCAGCTTAAAACTGTGGCAAAGTATCTAACACTGACTATAGTTTAACACAAATTCATGTTTAACTCAAAAAGGAGTATTGAGGTAAATAAGGAGGATGATGCTGGGGAAATTACTACATTGCTTTGATCTGAGAGTTTCTTTCAAATCTTCCTTTACATCTTTCATAAGAAACTTTGCATACCAGAAAGTTTTCCAGAAACTTTGCATATCATAAGAAATTTTGTATATTGAAAAAAAATTCCAGTATTCTCCAGCATTTTTGGTAACTCAAGACAGGGTTCTGGAAAGCCTTCCCAGAGATTATACATACATACCTCCTCACTTTTACTGCTAAATCCAGGCATTCTGGGCATTTGCATCTGGTAGTGAAAGAATATTGGTGACAAATTCAGAACATCAATTGAAATAAGGCTGATAATTGACCCAAAGCTATGCAGAAATTGATCACAAAGAAAAGTCCTAATTAAAAAAAATACTCACTGGCATAGCAATGGAATTACCAAGAAGACCTAGAAAGAACAGGAGAATCTTCATTTTCCCGCTTGGTACCTGGAATACAAAACTGGATTTAATTTTTTTTTAAAAAGATTTATTTATTTATTTATTTATACAAGCACTGGGTACAGTCAGAGGCGCGGGAGGGTGAGAGAATTCACCAGAGCCAGAGTGGGGAACAGATCAGGCAGAGTGATGAAATACACTGCTGAGGGGAGCAGTGGGTGGCAGGAGAGGTCTGCGCGCCATGTGGGACCCTCGCTGGTGGCCGGGATCGAACCGGCGCTGCAGAGGCTGCGGGCAGCTTCTCAACCCAGCGCTCAACCGCTGCGCCACCGGGAGGCTCTGGATTTAATTTTGGATTGTGAAATAATCATGCTTACTGCTCTGAGCTAACCTAGGCACTGGTCCTCCTGCATGATAAGGAAAGTACAGGAAAAAAAAATAAGACTTTTGCCATTTTTACATTACATTAAAAATTGCTAGATAGTTATTTTTGTAAACTGGAATACTTTTGTAAACTGCCAAAAGGGTCAGATTAAAAAGGAAAGATAAAAAGGTAATAGGGAGGTAGGAAAAGGAAGGAGAGAGGGAAGTGGGGGGTGGGAGAGAGAGAGAGAGGAGAGAATATTGATATTTGATGAGATTGCTCAAAACACTAGAATGTGGAACTTAGAAATTTGGAGGTAACCTAAAAACAAAACAAAACAAAAAAACAACTGTTACAGGGCAGGGAGAGGGGCAGAACCCAGAACCCTTAAATCTGCCTGCTTTCTTTTTTTTTTTTTTTAAAGATTTATTTATTTATGCATACAAGGGCTGGGGTGCAGGCCAGAGGTGCGGGGGAAGAGGGGTGAGAGAATTCACCAGAAACAGTGGGGAACAGAATAGGAAGATCTACTGAAATACACTGCTGAGGGGACCAGCGGGCGAAACAGGAGAGGTCTGCTGCACCATGTGGGTAGCTCTCTGACTGGCTGGGGATTGAACTCATGCTGCAGTGGATGCGGCTAGCTTCATATGCTGATGCTTAATCCCTTTTGCCACCAGGGAGGCCCCTAAACCTGCCTTTAAATATTCTGCCATCTGCCGCATTAGGACAAAACATATAAACCTTTAATGGAAAGGAACTTTAATAAAATTAGTGTGCGATACATAAAAGATAAAGAATATAGTTTCCAAATTAAGCACCTAAAGTTACCCATTCCCTTGTGGGTAAAAGTTCAGCCAAACAGGTTTGGCCCAAAGCAAGGTCCTAAAGCCTGCCACAAGTTTAAAGCATGTTTTAATAGAAACCCATAGAAAAGGGTCAGAAACAGACAAGTCTGGGAGGAAAAGAGCAAAATCAAAATTAAGATAAAAACTGCTGTTAACCTTCTCACTGGTCTCTCACCTTACATCTGTTCTAACCAGTCCAGGACTAAGAGGTAAGCTCTGTTTCTTTACATGTTTCTTTGTTTCGTGTGTCTCCTCAAGGTTTTTTTCTTGCTCTCTATCCTGTTTCCTTCCTTTATTTTCCTCTCCAGCTTCTTTTTCTTCCTGCTTAGCTCCACCCTTCTTTGGGTGAGGCAGGGATCCTGGAACCTCCCTTTTTTCTGGGACTACTCTCTTACACAACCAAATATTGATGATTTTGGTTACTTTAAGAAGTTCTAGTTGCTTGGTTTGTTTAAGAAGCCCTAGTTGAGGGGCCTCCCTGGTGGCGCAGGGGTTAAAGACATAGTGCTATCAAGCTATCACCAGCCACTGCAGTGTATATCAGTGGATCTGCCTGTTCTGCTCCACACTCTGTCTGGTGAATCCTCACACAACCCTCCCCCTGACTCCGCCCCACCTCTGGTTTACACACCAGTTCTTGTGTGCATAAATAAATCAATCTTTGGGGGAAAAAAAAGTTCTAGTTGCTTGGTTAGTTTAAGAAGGCATAGTAATGTCTGACTATATTCCCTCAGATAATTCAGAATATTTTAGTATAATCTCAGTTTTGTTGAGATAACACTCCAAAATCAGTAGCTATTTCTAAGGTGCTATAGACAACATTCCATTATATACACACTAATTAAATAATCTAGAAGCAGTCACAATTCTATCTGTTTATTCTTTCCTCTATTGCTGTTTTGATAACTACTCTTATTACTTTATCCTTTAAAAAAATCACTACTCCAAAAGAACTAGTAAGAGAAAAAGGTCAAAATAGGCAACACTCAAAATTTATCTTTGTTAGATACTTTGACTCAATATATAGATGAAAAGATTGAAACAGACAACGTTGGAGATAGTTTTCATGTATTTCAACAACCTCACTTTAATTACTCAAGTCTTATATGATTTTTTTTTTTTTTGTGGGACCCTTGCCAGTGGCCGGGGAATGAACCGGCGCTGCAGAGGCCATGGGCAGCCTCGCAGCCCAGCGCTCAACTGCTGCGCCACCAAGGGAGGCCCCTTATATAAATTTTGAAGCATTTACTTGGCTAATTCCATAAGAAAATTCTGTTGTTTTTGCATATACAATAGAAGAAAATAAAGAATTTTATCAGAATAATTATTCTGATATTCTGATAATAAATATTCTAATATTCTAATTTTCATGGAATGTCAGACACAACACAATTCCTAGCATATAGACATGTATAGCATATATGGACACATATAGAATATATTCCTAGTTTATTCCTTTTGTTCCCTCTTCTTTTTTGTGGGCATTAAATGCTTTTAGTAGTGAACTGAGCCAATGCTCACCCTTCTGTTTGTTTCCCAAAAGGACAATATAAATTAACTCCAGCATTTTTCTGAAGTGTAGGCATCATTAATTACCTTTTTGATATCACAGAAATTAGGAAAGTGTGATTAAACAAAGGAAGCAGTAATATGTAAATGCCTTTTCTGCTAATTAATAATTCTCAGAATCAATACATTCTAGAGAATTAAAAATAACAACAAAAACTAATTGTTTAGTATAGGTTACAACAACACAAAGAAGCTAATGAGATGAGTGCTTTTTTTCTTTTGCAAAAATAAAATGCAGCTCATCTTTTTGTAAGATTGATGTGTTAGCTGACTTTTAAGGTTCCTTCAATGTCTAGAATTTTATAATTGGATGGAAGTTAATGATTAATTATTTTCATGAATTGAAAATGACAGTGGAGCACAATGATTGCATTGAGCAATCATTGATTGCATGGAGCACAATGACTGTGTAAGTTCTTACTTCTTTTCTCCCATCTGAGAGCAAAGGTGCTGTTTGTTTCTTCTGACATATTTTGTCATCTTAAGTGTATTTTTTGCAATATTTAGATTATGTGACCTGTATGTATTAGAAAAAAAGAAATAAAATTACTCACCAGGTTCTCTAGCTTAGGAAAAGAGGTTCCATGCCTGCACAGAAGCAGCAACATTTTTTGGCCAAAATTTTCATAAGCCTTAAAAGAAAAGTACAGATCTGGCATGAAAATAAACTCAAATATAGAAATAAAACAAATGAATAAGCTAATAGCAAAGCTTAAAGTCTAAGGCAGCACATCACATTAATGATTTTGTCCAGTTATACCCTTTTTAGAATGTCTTCAAAATCAAGCATAATCTATTGTCTCAAGAGTAGAAAGAAAGCTACATCAGAAAGAAAGTGATCAGGGACTGTAAACACTTCTAATGAATGTTGACAAAACTTGACTGCTCAATGGAGAAATGTACAGAAGGACAGTATTAAATGAGGCCTTACTAAAACTTACAATAAAAACCAATACACCAAATAAACCAAGGAGTTTAAAGTTTTATCAGAAGATGAATCTACAAGCAATGACTATACAACCAACATCAAAGCATGCAGTAAGGATTTCAGTCAACATATATGAATTCAGTTTATTATTTGGCTCTATTTATATTAATTATTGCTAATACTCACCCAATGCCAGCTAGCAGCTCCAATATATAAAAAATAACTTTTACTTGAACTTCACTAGCCTATCTTTGAAATATATTTTTAATGGTCTACAGTGGAAATGACTACAAATTGCTGGTGCCAGGGAGATTCTCAAAGAGTAAGACACATTTATTTCTTAATAATAAAACAAAAATTCTTCACAAAGATGTCATTTTCTGCACCAAAAAGGCTTAAAATAAAAAGATTCCTCCTTGCCAGAAAAATCAGGATAGCAAGGTCACATTTAAGCATTGCTGAAGACTTCCACAACCAATCAGCTTTGAGAAAAATGGTTTTGCCATCACAAGAATTTAAGGCAAAAAACCCCCCAACATCCAGTGTAAAATTTGTAATGTGTTATTATAGGAGCTGTCAAATCAAGTCTCTTATTATGTATAATAACAGTCCAGGAAAATGAGCTTACAGCAGTAACATTTGGAAGATGCTTTCCTTGATGAATTTGGGGATTTTCAAGTATAGAAACTTTGTTTATGCAAAGATGTTTAAGGAACATAGGTGAGTAATAACATGCTATTGTTGTAAATCATTGACCATCATCAAGAGGCAGGCCAGAATATATGTATTTAATTAATACATATTTAATATATAATTAAATTTAACTAGAATGTTATATCCATAGGCAACAAAGTGATTTGATTTGGCTCATAATATATAAGGCTACCAGGATATTAAGTTCTTTTTAAAAAATTATATTTATAGACATAACACTGGGTTACAACAGTCTATGTTTTAAGGTACAGTTTCACACCTCTACAAATGTATGTTATCACATGGTGCCATGCCCATCACAAAAACCCCAATAATCCTCCACTAAAGTCATTGGGCCCCCTCCTCCCTTACCACCCTTCACTTTCCCCCATCCCTTCTAGCAGCCTCAGTTCTACAGTCAGATTTCAAGGGTTTGTTTTGTTATAATTCTGTCTGTTCCTTTACTTTTTTAAATATTCCACATGAGTGAAATCATCTAGTCTTTCTTCTTCAAACTAATTTCATACTATTCTTTTTTGAAGTCATACAGTTATTTAGTCCCCAGGGATCCAGAATTGTAGAAGAGTTTGTCAAAATAGCAAATGAACTCTTGACTAGTCATGATAATACAACGTTATGAAAATATGAGTTGAAAAATTCACTTAAGGGGTTATGTTATGAATGTTCTTAAAAATGTGACTTTTCAGGCCTCCCTAGAGGTGCAAGGTGTTAAGTCTCAGTACTGTGAAGCTATCAGCAGCCACTGTAGCATGAGTTCGATCCCTGGCCAGGGAGCTAATCCCCATGGCGTAGCAGACCTCCCCTGTCTCACCCACTGCTCCCCTCAGCAGTGTATTTCAGTAGATCTGCCTGATCTGCTCCCCACTCTGTCTCTGGTGAATCTTCTCACTCCGCCCCCACCCTGCCGCATCTCTGGCCTACACCCCAGCTCTTGTATGCATAAATGAAAAAAATTTAAAAAATCTGACTTTCCATAATAAATATTTCATTTCTGAATAAATAGAACAATTATGCTTTTCAGTGCCAACAGCAAGATTTGCTGTTTTTGCTGAACTTGGATCCTCCTGTACTCCTTATGACTGATGTTTGCTTATTTTAATGTGTACATTTAAAATTTAAGAATGATTGAATTTGATGTCAAAAGCTGGCTCCTGCTTGACATGACCACGTACATGAGTTCATCCAGTGATGCTCAGGGCGTTGTTCTTCCAAGCCATGAAAAGTGCCATGTCCTTCTTTAGATCAAGTAACACTGTCTTTCTCAGAGCCCTAACCCCCTTTCTGTCTGAATTTAGTAACACAAAGAATAAAACTGACCTAGAATATTTGATTTTAAATTCAGTTCTAAATAGTAGCTTTTTTTTTCCTAAAGATTTTATTTATTTTATTTATACAAAAACTGGGCATAGTCAGAAGCGTGGGAGGGTGAGAGAATTCACCAGAGCCAGAGCAGGGAACAAAACAGGCAGACTGACAAAGAAATACACTGCTGAGGGGAGCAGTGGAGGTCTGTCACACCATGTGGGACCCTCACCAGCGACCGGGGATCAAACCGGCGCTGCAGAGGCTGCAGGCAGCTTCGCCCAGCACTCAACCGCTGCACCACCAGGGGAGGCCCTCTAAATAGTAGCTTTTAAGTCTGCATGTATCCAGGATGTGCAAGTTATTTCTATCTGTTCTAAGCTTAGTTTGATTTTGTAGAAACCTAGTAGTAATTATAATATTGTGTGGATCACTGTGTGTTCAAATGGATTTGCAAGTGATAGGACACTCGGAGATCGTGTTTCCATGCAGGTGATAGGCATTGTGAGGCTGGATGATCCTGGTCTCTGTCTGTGCCCTTCATGTAGAGGCTGCAGTTTTGATTGTGATGTCAGTCATATAGGTTATTGGGAACTGCCACTAAACCTCACCTCTGGTATCTTTCTCTATTTACCCTTGTTCCCTCTACCACAAGGATGGTGAGTGGTCATGAAGTAACCCATGTTTTTAAAATGCAAGCAATGGGTTAAATGGGTGAACACTTTGTAGTGATGGATTGAGAAACTAACAGTCTCCCTTTCCCCGTAAACACAAACATGAAAGAAGTATTTACCTTCTTTACTTATTATTTAGTTAGAACGTTTTCAAGCCAGCCCATTGTGACATTTTCTTATTTACTTCAATTTTCTCTACTATTTCGTAAATTCTTTTTCTTTCCAAACACAATTGTTTGTGAATGTGGTTATGCTATGGTTTACTTTTATTTTTTTCAAAGTGTGCCTCTATAAGTTTGTGTTCTATATATTTCCTTTCTAGTCCATTAAAGAAGACTTCTGAACAGGGATTTGTAAATCTATGAAGTTATATACAAGAACTTGTGTGTATTGGGTGTTTGGTGTAAATGCACTTTTTTCCCCCTCACATTAAAATCTATATCCTCCTAGGGTCTATGACCTCCTACTCTTCTTTGCCTCAAATTAGTAAGATATTCTTGTTGCCATAATTTTAAGCTGCTGACAGTAGAAAATTTTTTTTTTATTTCTTATTCCAGATATGGTGGAAATAAGTTAGGCTTTGGAGTTGCCAAATCTGAACTTAAACCTTCCACAAATCATCCAGCTCTTCAATTTCTGTTTGGGAAAATGGGGGTAATAAGTTTCTCCTAAGAAGTAAATTAAATAACATATGTAAAGAATCTGGCATCCAGAATGATAATCAGTGACTACTGATAAATACCTGGAGGTATTGGTTCCACAGTGTATTAGTTTTCTAAGGATTTAAGAGAAATAAAGCTAGTCATAGTTCTGAGAGCAAACAGACACTGTTCAAAGCACAGCTGTTGCACTGAAGTTCTGTGGATTGTTTTTAGTAGCACTCTCCAAACTGTAGAATTACAGAATAAAGCACTTGAGATAAAGTAATGTTTTAGGAATCCATTATTGGTGGCCAATTAGTTTCTAAGCACCAGCAACCTTGATTTTTCTGTGAAACCATTCATTTAGCAGACTCTTGGAGCTGTAAGGTGAGAAGCATTTCTCTTGTAAGAGAAGAAGAGCTGTAATTTAATCTCTCACAGATTAAATAATTAATAATGTTTTACTGCACAAGCATTTTCCGAGCAGCCTCTTCATGCAAAGTCCCAACTTAGGTGACCCCTCCCCCACAACCCTGTCCTGCATAAGCTATCAGTATAAGAAATTTTCTGAGTCAAAACTTAGTAGTGGATTCAAATTCTAACTTTTCTGATTGACTTGGTTTAAAATCCTGGTCAAGTGACTTCAGCTCTTTAAGCCTTAGTTTCCTTATTTGTCAAGTGGAGGAATAATAGTATTTCCTTCACTGACTTGTTGAGAATTTAGTGAGAGAATTCATTTAAAGTTCATAACACATAGTTCAGATAAATGTATAGATAGATATATAAATGTCACTTATGATTATGATCAGAGCATGCTCAGTAGCTGCATATTACTGGCCACTGACAAAATTCCTAAAGACTTTTGAGGAATGGTTCATCTCATGTGTTTATTCATTAAATAAAACAAAGGCAGAAAAACAAAAAAAAAACCTTCCAAGGAACAAACATCTACATAAACAGAATACAGAAAAAAGAAACTGCATCATAAAATTTATTCAATTTATAGAGTTTAAATCCAGCTTTTGGTCTACAAATAAAAAAGTTATTCTGTGATACCAGAGAGTTGGTGCTGGTGGGTGGTTATTTGTTTGCACCACACTCAGAGGTAGTGTTGACTTCTTGGAGCTCGGAAAATAACTCTCTTATATGTATTTAAGACTCATTTAAAAATGATTCTGGGGCCTCCCTGGTAGCGCAGGAGGTTGAGCGCCACACTGTGAAGCTGTCCGCAGCCTCTGCAGCACTAGTTTGATCCCGGCCGCCTGGCGAGGATCCCACATGGCGTGGCAGACCTCTCCTGTCTCGCCCGCTGCTCCCCTCAGCAGTGTATTTCGGTCAGTCTGCCTGTT